GGTTACCAGAATGAATCAAATAACCAAGAACGATTTCACACATCCTCTTCCCTAAATTGGATTCGTTTCTGTTTTGGATGTGCACCTACAACAGCTATGAGGTTATCTATACATAAGGAAAAACTCAGTGTTATAAGCATGCAAATAAAAATTAGCAGAAGAACTTAAAAGACATTTCTTCAAAGAGGAAATGCAAATGGTCAACAGGCATATGAAAAAATGTTCAACAGCCCTTATCATCAGGGAAATGCAAATCAAAACCACACTGAGATACCACCTTACACCAGTAAGAATGGCACATATCAAAAAAAACTAGTAACAACAAATGTTGGCAAGGTTGTGATGAAAAAGGAACTCTTCTACATTGCTGGTGGGAGTGCAAACTGATCTAACCACTGTGGAAAACTGTCTGGAATTTCCTCAGTCTACTAAAAATGGAGCTACCATATGACCCAGCAATTCCACTCCTAGGGATCTACCCAAAGGACACAAGAACATTAATTCAAAAGAACACCTGCATTCCTATGTTTATTGCAGCACTATTTACAATAGGTAAAACCTGGAAACAATCCAAATGCCCCAAAATAGGTGACTGTATCAAGAGGATGTGGTATATATACACAAAGGAATATTATTCAGCAATCAAAAAAGATAAACTCATGCCATTCACAGCAACGTGGATGGAACTAGAAGGAATTATGCTGTGAAATAAGCAGTGAAATAAGTCAGAAGGAAAAAGGAAAATATCAGATGTTTTCACTTATAGCAGGAATATAGGGGAACCAAATAAGACATCAGTGTAGAAAAATGGTAATACAAAACACAACAAAGCAAAAACAGACAATTATAAACCAGAGACATACTGCAGGAGAGGAGGAGGGAGAGGGATCAGAGGGAGGAAGGGAGGAGCACAGGGGACTGAGGTTATGGTACACTGATGGTGCACGGGTGCATTGGTGAAGAAAATTCTATGGGGACTACACCTGAGGGGTGGGGGGGAAGCAAATATTGTTTAAAAATGAACAATGATGTAAAGAAATAAAACATTAAAAAAATTTAGCCAAGTGACCTAGAAGAAATTGAACAAAGTCATGATTTCAAATAGGCTTAGATTTTCAAAGATAAAGTCAATGGTAATATTTTAGTGAGGGCAGGACCTCTCTGGTGGTGTAGGGGTTAAATTTCAGTGCTCTCACCCATGTAGCCTGAGTTCAATCCCTGGCCAGGGAGCTGATCCACATATGGCTCAGCTGGATTCTCCTGTCTGGCCCACTGCTCCCCTTAGAAATGTATTTCAGGGCTTCCCCAGTGGCGCAGCAGTTGAATGCTGGGTTGCCAGGCTGCCCGAAGCCTCTGCAGTGCCAGTTCCATCGCCGGCCGCAGGGGGAGGGTTCCACATGGCTCGCAGACCTCTCCTGCTGCCTGCTGCTCCCCTCAGCAGTGTACTTCATCAGTCTGCCTGTTCTGCTCTCTGCTCTGTCTCTGGTGAATTCTCTCACCCTCCCGCGCTCTGACTGTACCCAGTGCAATAAATAAATAAATAAATAAATAAATAAATAAATCTTAAAAAAAAAAAGAAATGTATTTCAGTAGATCTGCCTGTTCTGCTCCCCACTCTGTCTCTGGTAAATCCTCTCACCACCCCACCTCTGGTCCCCACCCCAGTTCTTGTATACATAAATAAAAAATAAATAAATTAGTGAGGGAAGTTACAAACCACCAAATAATCTTCATGGATATTGTATAAAAAGCGGCTAGCAAAAACCTCCACATGCACCTCCATAAGCACCATCCTCAAATGAGAAGACACAATAGAAAAATAAATAGGAGTTGAGAGGAATATGTTTTAAAAATGAACCTGTAATATTCTCACCTAATTCTGTACATACTCACTTATTATTCCAAGGTTAACATAAAAGTGTGAAAATTTTTATAAAGCTTAAAAATCATTATATATAGTTTATTTGAGCAATAATCCCCTCAGAATTGGTTATTACCACTATTAATGACTTGCTAGTTAGAGTGTTAATGGCCCATAGCAAAAAACTGCTGGTAATGACTGATTTCAAAGGGATTATTACTTAATTAATGGCACTCCACCTATCCTTAGTCACTTTTGTAATATCATTTTTATTGCCTATTTTAAGACCTGAACCTTAGTTTATTACATTTGGAAAGATGTTGCCAACGCAGATAAAATAGATAATAATTTTCTGATTGTGATTAGCTTTGCAATGTGTGGGCATTTCACTAGACTATTTCAATGCTTCTGATCCCGTGTTAATAAAATGTCACCTGTGACTTCTGGGTGGGTTTCAAGAATATAACTAAAAAAAATTGACTTATTTTTTGAAGGAAAAAGTCTAAAATATTTCTGGACTCCTGGACACATTTTTGAACATCTCCAATTTGGATCAGGTAATAAATAAGAAAGAGAAAACTAATAAGGCACTTTCTTTTGAGAACCTTCTTAGTCATGAAGAGAATGCAGGGGAGGGTGTCATGTGACCTGAACTCTGGTGTCTGATTTTTACTTTCATCATTTGTAAAATTAGACTATTGGATTAGATTGACTCTTGAATCACAGTTCAAAACAAGAACATTTTAGGGCTGTTTGCATTAAAGCTATAGAAAATCCTTTTTCAGTAAACTCCATAGCTAGTCACATTATTCCCTATACTGAACATGGCCCTTTTGTATATTGCTTGCAGTAATTGGCAACTATCTAAGGCTTGCATGATTTGGGGAAAGCATGACCGCTAAATTGGGCCAATATCATGAATTGTTTTACATAAGGTAAGGGGCTAAAACTTGACATTAACCAAATCTTTGGACAAAAGTAGAAAAACCCATTGAAATTCATTATTTTCAACAAAAGCTGTGTAAGTAGCTGAAATTATGAGGTTCCTAGCTTCACATTGCACTGGAAATATGCCTTACAAGACTGGACTCTGAAAGATTTAAATATCATCATCAGCTTATGCTCTAAGTGAGTGGTTTTCAAAATCAAAGTATGCAAAAGGGCTAGTGAGAATGGAACATATTAAAAAAACAAACAAACAGGAAACAACAAATGTTGGCGAGGACATTTGTGGAGAAAAAGGAACTCTCCTACACTGCTGGTGGGAGAGCAAACTGGTCCAACCACTATGGAAAGCTGTGTGAAGGGTCCTCAAACTACTAAAAATGGAGCTACCATATGACCCAGAAATTCTACTCCTAGGGATCTACCCAAAGGATACAAAAACATTAATTCAAAAGGATACCTGCACCCATATGTTTATTGTAGCACTATTTACAATAGGTAAGATATGGAAGCAAACCAAGTGCCCCAAAATAGGTGACTGGATCAAGAAGATGTGGCATATATGCAAAATGGAGTATTACTCAGCAATCAAAAAAGATAAACTTATGCCATTCACAGCAACATGGATGGAGCTGGAAGGGATTATGCTCACTGAAATAAGCCAGAAAGAAAAAGAAAAATAATGGATGGTTTCACTTGTAGGAGGAATGTAGGGGAACCAAATAAGGAATCAGGAAAAAAATAATTATGATAAATAACACAATTAACAGTCAACTATAAACCAGAGACATTCTGCAGGGGAGGAAGAGGGATCAAAACCTGGGAGGGAAGAGCACAAAGGACTGTGGTGATGGCCCACAGGTGAATGGGTGGCGGGAATTTTACGGGGACTACACTTGAGAGGAGAAAGCATGCATTATACAAAAAGGAAGAATGATGTAAAAAATACGTAAATAAAATAAATAAGAAAAAATATGGTATTTAACCACTAAAAATTAAAAAAAAAATAGAAGTATGCAAGAGGAGGGGATTTCAGTTATGGTCTCTTCTCTGCATTGCAAGACACAGCTCAATTTCAGGGTACATAACCAAGAGGATATATTTAAAAAGGGTGATTGGGATAAGGAAAGTTCCTAGGGCAGGTGGCCAGCTGTCTGATTCCAGATATTGTCCACAGTGTCCATTAGTCTAAAACAAAAGCTGCTCATGCAAAAGAGTCTGTGATAAGAGCCTGGAAGTAGGGGCATGTAGGTAAGAGGTGGACCAGGATCCAGCTAACCCATAGCAGCTGGGGTGGTCACGGGTGCTGATGAGAATACACCCCAGCAGCATCTCTCCTGAAACCAAAGTCTGTCTCCCCCGAAGCCAGAGTCAGTCTCCTGAGGCTGAAGTCAAATTTCCTTCTCTCTGAATCAAACCTTGTCAGCTCACTGCAGCTTTCCCAAGCAGTCTCTCTTGAACTGATGGAAGCCTTTCCAAACTAAGTCAAACTTCTCTCAAGCTGGCTCTTAAGCTCGCCCAAGCAGCCTCTCCAGCAACTTCTCTCCCAGGCAGCGTCTTTCCAACAACAACCCTCAACCCAAGGCAAGCCTCTCCTATCCCCTTCCAGGGTCTCCACCTTTCAAATCTGATTGGCCCATTTTTCAAACTGGCTGTTTTCATGACTTAATTGGTGCTGGTGGAAGCTTGAACCTCATTGGTGCTGATGGGAGCTCAGACCTAGTTCATTTTAAAAGTAGCTCAGGTTCAAAGCCAAAACCCTAGAAGTGCATCCAGTCTGCCCTGTACCATCTCATGCAGGAGGTGGGCAGGTGATCTCTGCTATATCTGAATGGCACTGGCTAGATTCAAACCTGACCTGCTCCAAAACTGCCATGTTTTTTTCTCTTTTTTCATTAAAACCCAGTATGACTGCACCAGCATTGGCCATCAGACCTGCTGCCCTGGCATAGCTCAGGCTCATGCTGCCCAGCTGGGGCTGCTGTTACAAAAGTCTGATCCGAGGACCCTGGTGGTTCCAAGTGAAATCTATTTTTGATACTAACTAGGGTGTTATTTGCCCTTTTCATGCTTATTCTTTCATGAGAACACAGTGAAGTTTTACAGAGGTTTCATGAGTCATATTGCATAATGGAATGTATTTGGAAGGTCTGCACAATTCCTTGAACCAATGTTTTCAAATAACCAATGTACGATATTAGAAAGTGATGCAAGGAAAGGATTCTGTCAAGATGCAATCTGTACTGTGGGTAGAGGAACATGCTCATCTTCCATGTAGAAGGGAAGTGATGTTGAGAATGCACCCAGCAGTCTCTCTGCAGTAGCATTTTGGTATGTGTTAGCCTTTCTTTCTTTCAGAGCAAAGTTGATTCACCAGTAAGCACTTGCTATATGATGCTCACTTAGTTCCTCTTCCCATTAAATTACTGGTAATTGGTACACTTGAATATATGACACTGGCTCCAAATTGGAGTCATACAGATAAGAAGCAAACTCTATAAAGAGCTTTACTACTTGATATTAAAGTTAGTTCCTGAAAAGAGAAAAAAGGGCAGAGTTATAATTTCTCTATTTACTTTCTTCCTGTGTGTAATTGCAAATAATGAAAGAGAAGATCAGATGCACCATTCATCATACAAAACATCTGTAACTGCAATGCAGTACAGAGAGTTATTCCTCTTTTCTGTGCTTTGGCATTTAAACAGCATGTGGAGGTGATTAAGCAAATGCAAAAAGGACACACTAAGGTATTGACCACAATGGTTGTTACCCCTCTGTAGAGTGTTTGCATTTTAAAAAGGGTCTGAAGTAGGTCTGCAACTAGAGAAAACAACCTGGAATAAGTTTTTTGAATAAAGGAATGGATAACTGTAAAGTGGTGAGCAAAGATGGTGTTGCTTTTTCAAGGCTATTTATATCACATGATACAGGATGGAAACATCTGGGAATAAAACAATAATAAATAAAAAAGTGGAAAAACATTAATACAAAAGCCAACTGAAGAAAATCAATGACTCTCCCTACCTAGAGTGGATTCTGTATTCTCTAACTTTATATATAGGCATATCCTTTCATGAGCTTAGTTCGATCCTAAACTGGTTCAACAGAGCCCGTTCAGAAGAACAGGTGCATTGATTTATTAACAGATAATACATTTTCCTGGTAAAAATATTACAATGGTTTGAAACAGCATCAAATAAAATGTAAAATCCTGCCATCCTTGTTCTATTCCTCAGAGATCTCTAGTTTTTTTCCTGATGGTTGCTGCATAACTGAGCGATGTGCTTCATTTCTTGATTTATCATCTGTAGGGAAAATTGAGTTAAATCAGGCTTTTTCTTGCCTTCCTGCAGCTAGCCTCTATGGCTGCCACCTGTGGTCTTACATTTCTCCTGAGTTGCCCTTGGATGCCTGGGCTGAGAGGCACGGGCATAGGGCATCACACTTACAATTATGGGCATCTGGCCCCAGAGAGCACAGGGTGTGCACATGTGTAAACACAGACACCTGTGCTCAGAAGGGTGGGCCAAAGTTTCTCTTCAGTTCTGGCATGGATGGCTGCGTCACTCTGAGGCTAGTGGGCTCAGTGCTGTCTCCCTGCCTGCTGGTCTGTCCCCTGATTCAGCATTAAAGACCTGTAAAATCTACCAAGGGCTCCAAAATTCTATTTTCATCTGCAAGAATTGACAATGAACCTACCCAGCCTGGGATGGTTGCACAACATCATCTTTAGTCATTATCTTTTGATTCCTCACCCTAATAATTGAGGTAGTCACCTTTTATAAAGATTCCCTACTCTCTCCTACTTCCCCCAAGTTGTTAGTTATGTCATACTTTATTTTTTTAAATTAAATTATACATTTCAAAGATTTTATTTATTTTTGCGTAAAGGAGCTGGGTGTAGGCCAGAGGTACAGTGGAAGGGAGGATTTTCCAGAGAGAGTGGAGAGCAGAACAGGTGGGTTGACTGAAATCCACTGCTGAGGGGAGCAGTGGGCGAGACAGGAGAGGTCTGCTGCGCCCTATGTGGGTCAGCTCCTTGGTCTGGGATTGAACTCGGGCAGTCGTGGTGGCAGTGCTGAGACTTAACCCCTAGGCCACCAGGGAGGCCCCATACTTTAGTTCTTTACTGTTTACCTTTGCAACTTGACCCTCCATTCCTATTTGGTCAACTTGGGTAGCATCTTTTCACTCTAGGGAGCACAAACTCATATTCCTGGGTTATCCTTCAGATGTGCAAAATAGGTTTTTCTGAGGTGGGACTTGGAGTCAATATTTAAGTTCTATATTTAAAAATAGAAATTCTCAGAAGATTCTAATGATCACCTGTTTGGTCATCATTGCCCTAGACTGTATCTCCTCTTTCTCCTGAAATTAAATGGATCTAGTACCCATGCTGTCAACCAAGCCTCCCAGCCCCTGTGATCTCTGCTTTCTCCCTGGCTCCTCCCTGACCTCACTCCTCTCTTTCCATCTCTCCGCTATCTTGGCCACCCCCCCACCACACACACATTTTCTTTAATGAAGGTATACATAAGACGGAAGATATATTCTGTAATGTCAGAGTAACATCAAGCCTAGCGGCTAATACAATCTTGTGCAGCACAAGGCCCCTTGGGCTGGAAGGGGGACACATGGCAACAACAGTTTCCTGGAATCAGAGGTGGTGAAGAGCTCTACTCAAATAGCAGTGCTGTCAGTTGGGGTCTTTAGTTCAATAAGATGGAAAATGAATGTGTTAAAAGGATGTGTGGGCAGCTAGCCCAGTCATCTGGAAGGCTGGACAATGAGCTAGAGGCTGGGCAACAGCCAGGAATGATGCCTGGAACCAAGCAGGGCTGGTGCTGTCAGAACAGAGCCCAGACCTGGCAGCTGCATCATGGACCCAGTTGACACTTGGCCTTTACCCGTGCAGTTGGCACTACTGGCACCATGCACCACAGGGGCCTCGGTCACTGCCTTAACTGACACCTTTCCAGAGTGGTCCCTCTTGCTCTGTCTTATTTGCCTCACCAGCTACAGATTAAGTTCAGGCAGTGTGTCTGGGTAGCAGATCTTGGGTCTCTTAACACACCTGGCTGCAAGGCAGGCTGGGAAGGCAAATACCCAGCATTGCCACCTTTTTCTAGTGGGAGCAATGAGGTGACTAAATCTCCAAATATAGGAAGATTCAAATGCAGGTTGGTTAAATGTCCACTATGGTGACTCTAGTGGCCAGCTTGGAGGCTGGTCAGGCAGGCAGACAAGTAAGACCCCCACAATCTTTATGCTCTTTCTGTGGTATTCTCTCATGATCTTGCCTCTTTTGTAGTCATGCCGCTCATCCTCTCATAGCCGTCCTCTGTCTCTGAGTGACATCGCCCTTATGTCCCTGGCCTCCAGGCTCAGGTGTGCACACCTACGCATGGCCACACCCATGTTCCCGGTTTCCACAACAGTCATGCATGCCCCATGCCCGCGCTCCCGAGCACCTTCTGTATCAACATGATCAAGGCCACAGGTGATAGCATATAAGAGCAGGTGTATAGGCCAGAGGTACAGAGGGGTGAGAGGAGTCACCAGAGCCAGAGTGGGGTGCAGAACAGGTGGTTTGACTGAAATCCACAGCTGAGGGGATCAGAGTGAGGCAGGAGAGGTCTGCTGAGCCATGTGGGATTGTTTCAGTGCATGATCCTATCAGAAGCATGATATGCCAAGAGACAGTTCTTGGATATTAGCAAAGAGCAACCATAAACCAGGACACACTACAGGGCGGTGGTGGGGAGGGGACAGGAGGGAAGATTAGGGTCAAAACAAGGGCGGTGGGAATTGTATAGGGAATATAAACAAGATGAAAATGCATACATTGTGCAAAAATGAAAATGGTGTAAAAATGTATAAAATGAAATAAAATAAAATAAAGTGTTTGGGAAAGTAAGCACAAGCCATGGATGGGACACCAAGGCCGAGAATTGTGAGCACGGGGTGTGTGAGCCTATAAGCATGGACACGCAGGCTGAGGATCATTACAGGAGATAAAGAGAAAAGCCAGAGAGTGTGTACAGAGATTGCAGGGGCTGGGGAGTTTGGTTGCTGCCTGCCTCCCACCCCTGCCTCCCTGTCAAATCTTCAAACCCTGTCAAATCTACCGTGAATGCCAAGATACTTTTCCATTTGCTGGAATCAGCCATAAACCTTCCCACTTTGGGCCTGGTTTGCCCTACACTAGGTACAGGGTCAGGCTTTTATGCCATTGGCCTCTGAATGTGGCCTTGAATGCAGAACGAGCTTGGGAGTGTGGTGTGGGGCACATGTGCCTGATTGTGGACACCTGGAGAATGGATGGGGGTGTGTGTAAGTGTGCACACTTGAGCCTGGAGGCTGAGGTTATTAGAATGGTGTTACTCAGAGACAGAGAATGGCTGCAACAGAATGACTACAAGAGAAAGAGACCAGGGAAAGCATAAAGGTTTGCCGGAGACTGGGAGGACTGCCCTGCCTTGCCAGCCTTCAGGCCTTCCCCACAGCAATTGATGTATAAAGTGCATTAAAGTCTAAAAAAGCCACTGAGGACTCCAGGACTCTCCTTTATTCATCTGCCCGAATAATCTGCCCTGTGCTTGCTGGCACTACAGTGGGTAAAATGAAACTTAATGTCAGAGTGATGCCCACTTTTCTCAAGTATGAGTTTCCTTTTCTACTTTAGCCTGTTTGGATTGGATTTTCTGTCTCACTCGAGGTTCTGCAGCTTGTGCATCTGTTAAGATAAAAACACCTTCCTTTCAGAGAAGAATAGGAGACATGAAGAGATTCGTGTATCTAAGGACCCACCGTGGAGAAACTACATTTGCTCTTTCTCCATTTTTGAAGACTCTAGCAAAGGTTCTTGCTCAATAAACTCAATGGGTATTCAATGAAGACTACATTTAATTGAGCTTTTTTAAAAAAGCAGATGCTGTGGCACAGTGGATGTCTTTATATTTCTAACCTGCAAAAGATCTCTGAATACTTCTAATCAAGGTAGGGCTAAGCAAATTCTAATGCTAAAGTGTCACCTTGCAGAGTGGCAGTGGTGCAGGATGAGAGCAAGTACTTAGTCCATGTGGTGCAATGAGAGGCCTAGAGGGGCTACACCAGGAAGTAACATGCAGCCCCGTCCAAAAGCAGTCTCGTGTTTATCAGAATCAAGTACAAAGGTGGGTCAAGCATGTAGGGAGTGTACATGCATGGGTTGGGGGATGCATCATTGGGGATGTAAGCTGGAGGGAGTCACCAGAGACTATTGCCTGGGGTCTCCATTTTTCCCGCTATCTTTAGTGCCTACTCTTACCTTTCTGCTTAATCCTTACAAGTAAGGTATTTAGCTGATCTTGCTAATCTGGCCATAATATCTACCTGCTGCTGTCCTCTTACTGGGACTTTTATTCTGGTGAGACGCCTCCTGCCTGTCTGCCTAGCTGACCAGCAAGAACTCTGGGCACCGGGACAATAGCCCCGAGAATATGAAGGCTGGGGAACACACTAAAGCAGGCCAATATGGAATCCGCTTTAGAG